CTTGTGTCAAGCTGCTTTAAGAATTTTTTATCTTTAAAAAAAAAAAGAATTTTTTATCTTTGGAATTTGCAAGTTTCACTATTAAATGTCGAGGTGTTGAACGGTTTTTATTGTTGGGGGGGGGGGTCCTCTCTATCTCCTGGATCTGAATGCCTGTTTCCCTCCTCAAATTTGGGAAGTTCTCAGCTATGATTTGTTCGAATATAATTTGAGGTCCTCTCTCTCTCTGAGTCTCTTCTGGAATCTCAATTAGATGTATATTCTTCTTCTCAAGCTATCATTTATTTCCCTAAGCCTTTCCTTGTGGGCTCTTTATTGTTTTTCTTTTTTCCTCAGCTTCATTCCTTTCCATCAGCTTGTCTTCTATGTCACTCACTCTTTCTTCCACCTCATTAACCCTAGCTGTTAGAACATCCAGTTTGGATTCATCTCATTTAATCTGTTTTTAATTTTGGCCTGAGTAGATCTCAATTCTGCAGTAAGGAAGTCTCTAGCATCCTGTATGCTTTTTTGCAGGGCCACCAGTATATCTATAATTATACTTCTGAACTGAATTTCTGACATTATATTTAAATCCAAATTCTGTAACTCTTGGCAAAGAGTTTCCAGTTATTTCTTTTGTAGTGAATTCTTCCTTCTGGTCATTTTGTTCAGTGCAGAGTGACTGTATGTGTGGACTGAGTCAAAAGTATCAACCACAACATAAGTAAAATATACCCTTGGTGATTCCGGAGAGGTCAGAGACCAGAAAATAAAAGAAAAAGAACAAAACAAAATAAAAGGACCACTGAAGTGGAAAACAAATTTTAAAACAAATTAGTAAAAGTAAAAAGCCAAAAACCAACAACAAGAAAAAAAAGAAAAAAAAAAAACAAAATCAAGAAAAAGAGAATAAACGGGGGTGGAGGGATAGTGGTGGTGATGAAGTGGTAGTGGAGAGAATGTAGTCTCCCTGTGGGGTCCTAGAGGGTGATCCTCTTGGTTCTGAATGTATTGTGTTCTGTATGTTAGAAGGTGCTCAATCCCAAATTTATATAAACTGGCAGTACTTAGATAAAGCCCCAGTATTGAACACACAAAGATAAGCAAGATAAAAGAGGGGGGCAGAGTGAGAAGGAAGAGAGAATATAATCTCACAGAATGAACCAACATGGTGTTCCACTTCGTTCTGGGTGTATGTCCGTTGTGTTTTAGAAGGTACTAGCTTCCACCAATGTAAAACAAAATGAGACAGTAAAAACGAAACAAAAAACAAATACCCATATCTCATATATCTCCAAAATTAAATTGAATACGCTGAAGGGAATCCAGAAGTGAAAAGTACATCTAAGACATGTAATTGTAGAATTATGAAAGTCAAAAAGGAAAAAATTTTAAAATGAAGATTTGGTAAAATACTGTAGTTTAGGTGGGAAAAGGGAAATTTTTATTCTGATTTAAAAACAAGTGTAACAGAAAGAGAAAATACCACAAAAAAAGTTCTAGTTCTATATACTATTTTCCCTCAGTCCTGGAGCTTTCTAGCCCTGCTTGTTCAGTAAACTTGCTCTTCTCCTCTTCCAGCAGTTCTTCCGGGGGAGAGTCTGCAGTGCTGGTTCTCAGGTGTGTTTACCTGAGCAGAGATGCTCCGCCCCCTGCTGGGTGCTGGGCTCAGTGGGAGCGGTTTACCCCATAGGACCTTTGTTCTCTGGCAGCCCCACCTCTCCCAGGCACAAAGTGAAACAAGGAGGAACAATAATGGCCACAGCCAGATCTCCAGCTCTAGAGTCGAGCTCCCCACGAATAACTAACCACAGCTCCCAGTCCTCACTGGCCTAAATGCTCCAGGGGTTGGAACAGGTACACTGATCTGCACAGCTGGGGGGCACCCAGCGGCAGGAGAGTCCTCACTGTCCTGTGCCCTCCCCGCTTCCACCTGACATGGGGGGAATGGAGCATCACTGGCTTTGTCCACTTGGGGGCCCTGGTGTCCAGGGCCCCGTGCCCCTGGACCCACGCTCCCAGGGACCGCCTCTCCCAAAGGGAACAGAGTGGATTACAGCCACCTCCATCCGTTACCCGGCTCTATTGTAAAGGCTGCCCCAGAGCCAGCCCGCCTAACCAACTGGCTTCTCCTCAATGCCCTGAGGGCTGTGGCACTCCAGCCTTTTACTGAGATAGGACCACGGTTTGCCGTGAGCTTTCCCCGGGGGGCCCCTCCTCTTATGGTGACTCCGGGAATCTTGAGGCTTCACTGCCCCTCCTGCCATTCTGCCCTATTTCCCTGCTGAGCTCTTTTCTGTCAGAAAGAACTCAGGTGCAAATTTTTAAAGTTCCTGCTTCTCCAGGGCTGGGCTCTTGTGCCCCAGAGGCTTCACCGATCTGCTTTAGCCCTGCTAGTCACGGTTCCCCTCCCCAACTTGATGTTTTATTTTTTTATTTTTTGGTAAAAGCAAAAACTTTTCTCTCTGTAGCTGTTCCAGCTGCTATCTCTTTAAATCTCAGGTCAAATTCGTATGTGCTCAGGATGTTTTTAAAGTTATCTAGGTAAGTTTGTGGGGCTGAGTTGAGGACCCCTACTCTTCGATCATCTTGCCCCTCCCTCCTATTAGCCTCATTTTAAAGAGAGATTTTCTTTGAAGTATATTTTCTGTGTGCATTTAGATTCAACCACTTTGAAACAGATCATAAAACATTTGTCTTGAGAGTGGCTTCTCTAAAAAGAAGAGAAACCTGAACATGCAGTCCTAAAGTTTTTCCAAGCTTTCCCGGCCTGTCTTTGGAGTATTTCTTCATATTTTTTGCTTTCCTGAATCTGACATGGGATTTGGTGTGTCTAGAGTACTCAGATGAAAATGTTAGTAGACAATTGTGAAAGAGAGTCTAGAGCTTAGAAAACATTAGGGAAGATAGATATTTAGAAGCTTTAGGTTTCTGAAACATAAAAATCTGAGTGGAGATGTGGGTTTTAATCTAGACCCTACCATGTAACTCTCTGGGCTTGTCACTTTTCTGGGATTAGCAGTCCTTACTTATAAGACTAGACAGTTGATCCCACAGCCCTCTTCCAACTTTAAAAAGTATTTTATTTTTTTTTTTAATTTTTTATTTTATTTATTTATTATAGTCATCACAGAGAGAGAGAGAGAGAGAGAGAGAGGCAGAGACACAGGCAGAGGGAGAAGCAGGCTCCATGCAGGGAGCCCGACGTGGGATTCGATCCCGTGACTCCAGGATCGTGCCCTGGGCCAAAGGCAGGCGCTAAACCACTGCGCCACCCAGGGATCCCCTAAAAAGTATTTTAGAAGAGAAAAAACATTTTTTCCAAATGTGCTGCTCTGGTCTTTGTGGGGGAAAAAAGACCTTTTAGTAGGTTTTAGGATATATGGTATGAAAGTATTGGATTTCTATAATAATATCCTTTTCACCCTCCGTATCAGTGATTTATTATATAGAAAATTAAAAATAGAGCAGAGGCAGTTTCCCTTGATAAGTCATTACTTGCTCTTGCATGATTTGTTATTTCTTGTTAGTAATCAGTGGTCCCACCCCCACCCCCACTACAGTTTGCTTAAATGAGCCTTATTTCTGATGACTGGCACCTTAGGTCTGTCAAGATGGAAGTCATGTGGCTGACTCAGTGGAAACAGGAGTGTGGGTTAGGTGTTGGATTTTTTTTTTCCTGTCCAATTATGAGTTTGATAATGTCAGAAATTTTGAAATTGATAATCTTAAGTCCCAGAGGTTCAGGTGAAAGCAGGGGAGTTTGTAGGGAAGTGCCTGTCTCCTGTTGGGCTATACCACCCCCTAATGGAAACTGCTTTTTGTTGATATGCTACAGAATAGAACACTTTTTCCTGTTTTGGAAAGAGTTTAAAATCCATCTTCACTCCCACCCCCTTTCCTGGAAAACGTAGATTGGGCCTGTATGTATTTTCATGATGTACTGGTTTCCTGAGACTGCTATAACAAACCCAGAGGCTTAGAACACCAGAACTGTATTCAATCACTGCCCCAGAGGCCAGAGTCTGAAATCCAGGTGTCTAGTGGGATGCACCCCCTCTGGAAGCTCGAGGGTGGATCTTTTCTGTGTCTCCCACCCTCTGGTGGCTGTTGATAGTCCTTACGGTTGCATCACTCCACTTTCTGCCTCTGTGGTCACATTGTCTCCTCTATGTCTGTGTTTCTTCTAAGCAGATTTGTCTTAGTATTTATGGACCCTGCCTGGATAATAACAGATGATATCATCTCAAGATCCAAAGGCAGCCCACCTGGCTCAGTGGTTTGGTGCCTGCCTTCGGCCCAGGGCGTGATCCTGGGGTCCTGGGATCAAGTCTCACATCGGGCTCCCCGCATGGAGCCTGCTTCTCCCTCCTGCCTGTGCCTCTGCCTCTCTCTGTCTCTCTCATGAATAAATAAATAAAATCTTAAAAAAAAAAAATTCCTTAAACACACATTTGCAAAGGCCTTTTCCCCCCCACATCAGTTCACATTCATCCGTTCCAGAGGTTTGATGTGGATACATTTTGGTAGGGACCACCATTGGACACACTACAGGTGGTTGGTGCCTTATCTGTCCATTTTCTCTGGGTCTTTAAATTATCACTGCTGCTAACTCTGTTCTGTGTAAGCCAGCGTTCCCTTTCATTCCTGGTGGTGGCCTGTATGGAGACAGCTTCTATCAAGATCCACCACAGGTGCTGCTCAGTTACATAGCAGCTTCCTTATTTGTGTTGAGTGTGGGTTGTATTATTTCCAAAGCCATTTCATTATTTTAATGGGGAAAATTAAGCCAGCAAACATGTTAAACAGTGTTAGAGTTTGTAAAAAAAAAAACAAAAACAAAAAAACAAAAAAAAAATGGGAAACTGGACAGACAGTGTCACTAAACTGCATATAACTAGAAGTGCAAGTCATTAGCAGAAACATTGCATTTTGCAAAAATGTAGAAGATTCTAAGAAAAATACTAATATTCCTCTTGGAAAGCTATCTTTAATTGTTGCTCTTCTTTTCTCTGCAGGCCTTCTAGATAACCCTGAGCTTCGTGTGGTCTTGGTATTTGGCTATAATTGCTGTAAGGTGGGAGCCAATAATTATCTGCAGCGCGTTGTCAGCACTTTGAGTGATACGAATGTCATATTGGCTGGAGGCCAGGTGGATAACCTGGCATCGCTGACTTCTGACAAGTAGGTCTCATGTGCTTCCAGTTTCTCCTATGCATGACCACAAGTGTTCTCAGGTTTTTCTTACCTAGGCTTTTTAAAATGCATGTTTACAGAACTAAGTTAATAGTTCACTCCGTTTTGCAATACTCAACATAATTCTGCTTACTGTTAGGGAGTGAAATTTTTATGTTGTCTTTTAATAACTTATTTTAGTTGAATTCATCCTCTCCTCTAAGTTGATTTTCAGCATTGTCTACTGGAGTCTCCCTGACAGCTCTGTACCCTGTACAACCATAGTGATCACTTCTTCTGTAGTTCTGTTTCCTCCTCTAAAGGAAACACATGGTTACACAGTGAATCCTCATGGTAAAACTTCTTAGAACCTCCGGTATGCTGAGTTCTACGGAAATCTTCTGGAGAGGGAATAACATTACCTGTGACAGTTCTCAAATCTGTCTTCCTCACCAGAGAGGAAGAGGTGAAGAATGCAAGTGCACTGAATTCTAAGCAGTAGAATCACCTAATTCTCAGTGATTACCTGTGGATTATTTCTCCTCAGACCTGATCTTCTGTGCGTCTTTGCTTTTACCTCTAAATTGTATGTCAGCGCAGTGATGATTTAGCCTCATTTACCTTTTAAATGCAAATCTCACTCAGACCAGGCATACAACATCTGGGATGCGAGCCTGTTGGCGTGGTCAGTTGACTGTATAGCATTTTCTTTTCTTTTTTTTTTTTTTTTTTTTAAGATTTATTTTTTTACGATAGAGAGAGAGAAGCAGAGGGAGGGAGAAGCAGGCTCCATGCCGGGAGCCCGACGTGGGACTCGATCCCGGGGTTCCAGGATCACGCCCTGGGCCAAAGGCAGGCGCCAAACCGCTGAGCCACCCAGGGATCCCTGTATATCATTTTCTTTCTGTACTTATTGTGGGAAATAAGCCTCAAGAATTGTTAACCTTTACATGACACATTAATTTTAATGTGGTCTTCGTACTGTGTCAGTGGGTAAAAGAAGCCATTGAGTAAATCAAAGCTCCGTTTTGACAGTGGCGAGATATACCACCTGGCCAAAAAAAAAAAAAAAGATGGATAAATAAATCTTTGAGGCAAGATACTGACAATACACATTGCGATTGTATGTCAAAGAGGAAACATAGTAAGTTTAAGGGGGCAGTGGAGGACTTGAGAAGGTGGATTTTGCTCCTCAGTAAAGGGTTTTGGTACTAAGTTAGCCTTACTGTCTTAATCATTTAAGCTTTTAGAATTAAGTACCTTGTTAACCAAGTAATCTTGCCCATTTCATCAATTCACATGTTGGTAAACATGATAGAAATATAAGGTATTTGTTTTTCTCCTATAGGTGTTCACTATATTATGCTCTATAACTTTGATACTTTATATTTTCTTTAGTAAGGATGAAATACTTCATTTTTTAAAAGAGCAAATATAAGCAAAACATGTTTTTATCTTTACATTAAGCTGAATTCTAGGCTGAAAATAATAAGTAAGACCCAGCAATAGAATCTTGTTCCTTTATGGACCAGATAATGTAAAGCTAAAACTTCTGGAGTTACAGGTTCCTAATAAGATTATTGTTCATGATTGAATATCTAATATATCTTTTTTTAGAATGTGACAGCCAAGGTAAGGGGGAGAAAGATACCAAACGTGTAAATAATACTAGAAAGCTTTATTTAGTAGATGTCATGTATATGTATAAAATTTTTAAGATTCCTTCTAAGAAAGTGAAAAAGGTTAAGGATATTTTATATCTTTCTAAAAACCCATGATGGTTTTCAGAAATATTTGTGGAGATACATTTGCCCCTCAAATTTGTGACTGAAAAAACAGTTGTTTACTTCCTCATAGATCTGCTTCCCTGCCTTCTTTTAAGTGTTTAATTTCATAGTTTAATTTTTAATCCCTATTATACTGCTCTTAGCTAAAGGTAAGCCTCGGGCTAGATGGAGGCTGTTAAAGACAGCAGCTCCTGGCCAGTGAATCACTTTTCTTTTACCTTTTAAAGTTTATATTTTATTTCATGATGTATCACCACATTTTTCTAATTTGATTTCCAGACAGCCTCTGGATATTGACGCCACTGGAGTGGTTGGACTGTCATTTAGTGGACACCGAATCCAGAGTGCCACGGTGCTCCTCAACGAGGATGTCAATGATGAGAAGACCGTTGAGGCTGCGATGCAGCGCCTCAAAGCTGCCAACATTCCAGAACGGAATACCATTGGCTTCATGTTTGCATGTGTTGGCAGGGGTTTTCAATATTATAGAGCCAAGGGGAATGTTGAAGCTGATGCATTCAGAAAGTTTTTTCCTAGTGTTCCTTTATTTGGCTTCTTTGGAAATGGAGAAATTGGATGTGATCGCATAGTCACTGGGAACTTTGTATTGAAGAAATGTAATGAGGTAAAGGATGATGATCTGTTTCACAGCTACACAACAATAATGGCACTGATTCATCTTGGGTTATCTAAATAAAGCCGCCTGTAAAGTGGCTTTCACAATATATGACTTTCCGGCTCTGCCTTTCCTAGAAAATGGAAACAGATGTGTATTTCAAAAAAGAAACAAAACAAGAACAACTTTATATGTGTATCAGTTTTGTAGCTTTGAATCTCTAAAGATTATATTAGGGGTGGTTTTTAATAAGTCTGGTGAAGGACAGCTTTGTATATAACATACCACAATCAGAATTGGAAGCTTTTGCATCATGCACAGTCCTAACCGACGATGGCTGTATTGTACCAGATTATGTAGCTGCTGTGTAATGTGATTTTATAGTCTTCCTATAGCATAGGAAGATTGAGAGAGGATTCATCAGTAGGATGAAGATTTAAGACATTCCATGACTACCTCTGCATTGTTAGATCTTTTAGTAAAATCATGAAGACCTTTTTTTTCTCCCTTACTGAAGGAGAAAAATACATGGATAGCTTGAGAAATCTTTCTCTGCTTTACGGTTTTGCCTATTTTTTCAGAAGCTGTAACAAATTGCTGACTTTTTACTTATTTGATAAAAATTAAATAACTATTTTTGTTCTAGTGCCCTGAAGTTGCTTAGTCAAATAATTGCCAAGACTAATCAATATTTTATTACTTTATAAGGAAAAAATTTTCCTTTTCCCTCAGTGAAGAAATTCTAAGAGAAAATCCTTTTCTTCACCTAGTTCTATATAGCTGACAATTACATCACCTTATTTTGGTTTTATACCAATAAAACCTACCTTGGAAACTCACTCAGACAGTGTTTTTTGTATGTCATTGCTTTTGGTGAGTGAATGATGGAAGTAAATAATACTTTAGAAATGAAAACCCAGAATAGTAATTGTCAGCTAGTAAGTCTTGCCATGTTCCCCGCAGAATGATTTTTAAACTTGTATTTCTAATTATTGCTAATACCTAAAGGAGCTATGTTGAGAGAACACCAATTTTCCCCACTGACCTTCTTCACATAGTGCTAGAACCTTGGATTTTCAGCCAGGCACGTGCCTCCCATAGCAAAGACTGCAGTTCCTATTGTCCCTTGCCATTGACTGTTGTGCTGGTGACATGACATGTAAAAAATGGTGTGGCCAGTTTTTAGCTCTTCCCTGAGCTTGATGCTTGGGAGTGGATCTGGTAGTGAGACATCTTGAACTCTTCAGAAGAGACGATGCCCTTGGGGGACAGAACCATGTCCGGGGTTGCCGTACAATTTTGTTGAAGGGCTACCATATGCGGCTTGGATTGTCTCTCTCCAGACTGCCTTACAAGATCAGAATCAACATGAGTCTTGCCTCAGCCACTGTTTTTTTCCAGCTCTTTCTTACAACAGGTGTTTATAATAGCATAGTCTACCTAATACAGTAAGATATGACTAATGTATGGCACTTTTGTAATGGTCAGTGGTTCTAACAGAACAGTAGAAAACCTACAAGGTAAGTGAAATCAAATGTATTAACCTTCCTGCTTTTCTATTTTTAATCATTTTCCTCAGTTTTTACATTAAAAGGTTTTCTTTTGCTGTTTATGTGATAAAAAATACTTACACATTTATTTTATAGCTATCCTAAATCCTAATTCCTAAAGAAGGTGCAAAGAAAAGTTTTAGAACTTTTCATCTGTGAATAATAATAATCTCACCTTTATTTAGTTATTAAATTTTTCTGTTATTTGACATTGGTTGCCCATTATCACATAGTACTCAAAATTCAAGTCTTTGGATATGCTTACATAGCACAGAAGGAAAACACTAAATTTTCTTTGCTATAAATGAGTTGAATAGTAGAGGAAAAAGGATTTGAAAAACTAAAAATATGAACAAAATGAGCAGGACAAGTGAATGGATTATTTTATTTTTTTCAAATTAATGCTCATACAAAAGAATATTACTTACCAAAGGAGAGTCTGCCACAGGATCATTTCAATACATTGTTTGAGGTTCTACAGTTCCTTTGTATAGCTGAGCTTCGGGGGCTTAGTAAATTCATTTGACTACAAGGTTGTAATCGTGCAGAATAGAAAGGGGAGAGATTGACTCAATAGAAAACAAAGATAGTATTGATGAAAACAAAAGCCATCTTCACTGCCTCTAGAAGTTTTGATGTGGCATATAAGGGAACAGGAATTTAACCAAAGTTAAAATGAAATAATTACAGTTTTAAAGATCTGTGTTAAAAGCAAGCATTAAAGGATTATATTTTCAGCTAATAACATACTAAATTCCTAGAAATGGCAACTTTTATATAGTCATTTTTGAAACTGGAAAAAGATCATACATGAAAACATACATAAGCACAAGAGAAGTAAAGATTATACTCTGTGTCATAACACTGAACTTTCTTTCAAGTGATCAGACTGATAGGATGACTTAAGACATTTAAAATGCTTCCTTTTAATGCTATCACAGCACTATCCTGCTGCAATTTGCTCTGTGAAAGTCTGCTTCAAGGAATTATATTTCCATTCCCTTTATCCCCAAGTAGAACTAAATTCCTTCCAAGCCATCTAAGGAAAAGGAGGAAAGGCAGACCTTGGGATTTAGACCTAGAAAGAGACACACTGCATAATGACCTAATAATCTGCTGTGACCGGTATGAATGCCAGGCATTCATAGGCCACTTACAGTTCCCTTAACCGTGCCTAAAACTGTATCATTAACAAACAGCAATGTCTGAAATTTGTAAAATGCCAGATTGTAAAAGGTTTGCCATTGATTTGTATCGCAAGTTTAACACGTTGAATATGCAAAGAATGTAAAACTTTTACAAATCTGAGAATTTTCCTATGCATTCTACAGAAATTTTTGAGAAAAAAATAAAACTACCTTTGTCATTTTGTGCCCACACAATCTAACCCAGAATATCACCAGCATAAATTCAGTTTTAATGGAAACAGAAGACACTAAATCTTCTTGTTTGGAAATTGTGAGATTTTTTAGATGACTGACTTGATTTTCATTTGTAGAAACTGGGTAGGAGTCCTAAAATAAAACATAGTAACCGTTAGTAATAACTCCTTGTTGAGTGAACAAAGTATCTATATTATGTGAAGAATGTATTACCAGAAAGTTATTTTAATATTGGCCATAGGTATAGCATAGTGATATTTCTGCAATGCATGTTATTTTCATTTTATATATTTCACTTCTGCCCAACACAGCAACTGAGAGAGGTTACAAAAATATATGCTACTATAAAGAAGAAAATATTAGCCAGTAAACTTCATTTAATGTTTTGGTACTAAGAGGGTATAGAGCATTTTCATCTTATAAAGGTTATATGAACCATCCTCACAATCAGCAAAAAAGGCAAGAATGATAACCACAAGGAATTGGGGAGAAAATATATTCCTTTTAACCTTAATTTTAAACACAATGGTAAGGATGAGAATTTTAGACCATTTCCTTAACATTTACAGAGTATTTCCAAGTCTGACCAAAATTCACCATGTTCAAGGCCTTGTCATGATACTAGAATTACAGACAGAACATAAGTGACCTGAGTGACAAAGCAAAGTGGTGGTCTAGGACACTCTACAATTCTAATTTGGATTTGTACCTCTACTTTTTGTCTTCCCCATAATCTAAGAGACTATTAAAACAGGAGCTTGTCTATGTTTTTAGGTGCACAATGCTTAAAGATGTAATTTTGTGACAGTAATAGCTGAAAGGAGACAAAGACAGGGTTATATAAGAGCAGAGCTTTTATACACTACTGCCATAAATTCAAATTAGAGTGTTATTAGTTTAGAATGTTAAGTGGAATCCCTAAGGTAACCACAAAGTAGCTATATAATGTACACAAAGGGAATGAGAAAATGTTTTACTACCAAAAAAATTCAACTGGATACGAGAGACAGAAAATGAAAGACAAAAAGCTATAAGGCACATAAATATCAATCACATTAGTCCTTTATCAATAATTAAATATAAATGGATTTAAAGACACGATCTAACTGTATGCTGTCTACAAGAGACCAACTTCAGATCCAAAGACACAAATGGGTTAAAAATCAAAGGATGGATAAAGATATTCCCAAAGGGAGCAGTGGTGGTTCTACTATTATCAAACAAAAACACCTTAAATCTAAAAAGGTTATAAGAGATTAATGAAGGACATTAGATATTAATAAAAGGTTTAAGATACATCAAAATTAAACAGTTAAGAAACTTTGCACATCTAATAACAGACCCTCAAAGTACAGCAAGCAAAACACGGCATACTGAAACTTCTGTGATGCAACAAAAGCAGTGCTAAGAAGGAAATTTATAGCTGTAAATGCTTACTTTAATATATTAGTGTATAAAATACTCTAGAAAAGACCTAAAGCTAGTATAAGATTAAATCTAAGATAAGCAAAATAGTTTTTCAAAATGATCTTAAGGGTGGAAAAACCTTTATTTAGGCCAAGAGGGGGGAAAAAGGATTCAACTTACTAAAAGCAAACATAAAAGTGGGGTTATTAGTAATGTTTTTATAGAAACATCAGCACTATAAGCAGCTGCACTTCCTATAAATTGGATAAACTAGAGGAAATTGATACACTCCTAGAAATATAAAACCTCACTAAGACTGAATCATGAACAAATGAAATCTACACAGACCTCCAACTAGGAGACTAAATCGGGATCCAAAACCTCCCAATGAAGGAAAACTGCATTAGGCTTCACTGGTGAGTTCTACCAACAATTTAAGAAATAAAACCAGTCCTCAAACTTTTCCAAAAATATTTAAGAGAAACTCATGCTCTAAGGTCAGTACTACCCTGACACAAAGCTGACTACAACAGAAGAAAAGCCACACTACACATTAATACCCCTGGTAAATAATGATGCAAAAATCCTAAAGACTATCAGCCACTGAAACATCACATTAAATTTCTACACACTTTGAACAGGTGGATTTAGTCCAATTCAAGGATAGTTCAACAAGTGAAAATAAATTAATACACTATATTGACAGAACGAAGGGGGAAACCCTTATAACAAATGATGTAGAAAAAGAATTTAACAAAATATGACAAGATATGTTTTTTTAATAAAAACACAACACACTAGGAATAAAAGGTAACTACCTCACCATAATAAAGTCCACATACAAAAAGAAACAGGTAACATTGTACTCAATGGAGAAAGACTGAAAACTTTTCCTCTAAGATCAGGAACAAGACAAGGATGCCACCTTTTGCTACTTCTGTTGCACCAGGTGTTGGAATTTCTAGGCAGAGCAACTAGTTAAAGACAATTTGGAAAGGATGAAATTATCTTTGTGGACAAAGTGATCTTTTATGCAGAAGACAACTAATCAAATTAGACAACATTTAAGAATACAAAACCAAAATCAGTTGCCTTTGTAAACATTAAGAATGGGGATCCCTGGGTGGCGCAGCGGTTTAGTGCCTGCCTTTGGCCCACGGCGTGATCCTGGAGACCCGGGATCGAATCCCACGTCGGGCTCCCGGTGCATGGAGCCTGCTTCTCCCTCTGCCTGTGTCTCTGCCTCTCTCTCTCTGTGACTATCATAAATAAATAAAAAATTAAAAAAAAACATTAAGAATGAATGAAGTATAATTCCCTTTACAATAGCATTAAAAACTACAAAATACTTGGCAGTTAATTAAGGAGGAAGACTCATACTGAAAGCTACAGAACACTGCAGAAAGAAAATAACAATAAAGGGAAAGCTATCCCATGTTGGAAGAAAGAAATCAATGCTACCCAAAATGATCTATGGAATCAATATAATCCATTTCAAAA